AATAAGAAAGATATGTTTCTATTCTCTCTTTGATTTTTTTTTATATTAACCAACTTTAACATTTAGATTAGTTTATATTAGTTGTAAAACTAACCGAACATGACATCCATCCATTTGAATTTATTTGATCGTTAGAGATTGTCTATGTTCAATTTGTATTCACAACTAATATAGATCAATCGGTTTTTATTAGAAAAAAATTTAATAATAATAATTGTAACACTAAATAAAACTTTTATCTAACCCAAATATGAAATTTTGTGTTATTTCAGGTTAAAAAAATTTCCTCAAAATAAAAATTTTAAAGCAGGAAATTAAAAAAAAAAAGTCTTTTTTTTTAATTTATTACATTAAAAATTAGATTAATTTAAAATCAATTAGATTTATATTAACTATGAAATTAACCAAATATGGTTCCAACTATTGAATTCAATTGGTCATTAGAAATTGCTTATCTTTAATTTATTTTTACAATTAATATATATTAATCGGATTCTTATTAAGAATAAAAATAAATATAATAATATTAATAGCGACATTAAAAAAATTTTGAAGTTTTAATTTTAATTGACAGAACTGCCCTTTTGTCACATCGATAGCTTTGACTTGGTGGAAGTGGGGAACCACACAGAATCCATGTAAAAAACAAACAAAAAATCTCAACAGATAAGAAAAAGGAACGAAAAATAATGAAGAGAATCACAATAATCGCGGCGCTTGTTATAGCCAACACTCTAATGGCGAACACAACGTCGCGAGCCTCTCTCAACCTTCTTCGCCGCTCTCCACCGAAGCTACGAACTGCTAAATTTTTCTCTTCTTCTCAGTTTCGTCCCTCAGCTTTTCCTAAATCATATCCTTGCCCCATCTGGTCTTCCTCTTTCTCCTTCTGTCTCCCTCCTAGATCCGCTTCCACTTCTCTTCCCTTCCGCCTCTTCTCCTCCTCTCCTCCCTCCATGTCCTCCGCCGTCTCCGCCGCTTCCTCCATCGTCTCCGACGATACTCTTTCCTCGAATCCTCTCTTGCAGGATTTCGATTTCCCTCCGTTTGATTCCGTTGATGCCACGCATGTTCGTCCCGGGGTTCGTGCTCTTCTGCAGCATCTCGTATGTTCTCTTCCTCGCTTCCTCACCGGAGATTACGATTGGATTCTTATTATAGTGTATTTTGTTTATTTGACATTTGAGTTTGATCGATTTTTTTGCAGGAATCTGAACTCGAGAGGCTAGAGAAATCTGTGGAGCCGTCATGGCCTAAATTGGTGGAACCATTAGAGAAAATCGTTGATCGCTTAGGTGTTGTTTGGGGAATGATCAATCACCTTAAGTCTGTCAAAGACACACCTGAGCTTCGTGCTGCCATTGAAGACGTTCAGGTTAAATATATATCTCATGCTTATTTGTTTTGTTCAGTGAAATTGAAATTCATATCTTGTTTCACTAAACTATATACTGCAGCCAGAGAAAGTGAAGTTCCAGCTCAGGCTGGGGCAAAGCAAGCCTATTTACAACGCCTTTAAAGCTATTCGAGAATCTCCTGAGTGGCCTTCTCTCAGTGAAGCTCGTCAACGTTTAGTAGAAGGCAAGTAGTTCTATCAATAGAAGAACATATCTTTCACTCTCATTTGCAGTTTTCAGTGTATTAGAGACTCGCTAACTGTGGATATTCTGCGTGATTTCAGCACAAATAAAGGAGGCGGTTCTCATAGGTATTGCTCTTGATGATGAAAAGAGAGCAGAGTTTAACAAAATTGAACAGGTTTGTTTTTAAGCTATTGACAAATAAATGTAAAAGCTTGTTTAGTGATTGGTTTGTATGTTTGAATATGCTTACTCAAATTCTTTTGTTCTCCACTGAAGGAACTCGAGAAACTTTCCCATAAGTTCTCTGAGAATGTTTTGGATGCTACAAAGAAGTTTGAAAAGTTGATAACAGACAAGAAAGAGATCGAGGGGTTGCCTCCGAGTGCTCTTGGGCTATTCGCACAAGCTGCTGTGTCCAGGGGTCATGAAAATGCAACTGCTGAGAATGGGCCATGGATCATTACATTGGATGCTCCTAGTTATCTTCCTGTCATGCAACATGCCAAAAACCGTGCTCTGCGTGAGGAACTCTACCGCGCTTATCTGTCTCGTGCCTCTTCTGGTGATTTGGATAATACAGCAATTATTGACCAAATCTTGAAGCTTCGATTGGAAAAAGCTAAGCTTCTTGGTTACAACAATTACGCTGAGGTAGAGTCATATATCAACTTTAGTAAAGCCGTTCATTTTTTTTCTTTCTAAATGGCTTGATGTGGCTCTCTATTGTTCTAGGTGAGCATGGCTATGAAAATGGCCACTGTTGAGAAAGCAGCAGAGCTTTTGGAGAAGCTTCGTAGTGCTTCCTGGGATCCAGCTGTTCAAGGTAACATGTTGACGAAGTCAGCTATATATCATGAGATTTCATAGCCTATCAAAGACAAAACTTTGATTTTCCTGGTTCGTTTTATTGTATAAATTAGACATGGAAGACCTCAAGAGTTTCGCAAAGAGCCAAGGTGCTGAAGAATCTGGCAGTTTGACTCACTGGGACACCACTTTCTGGAGTGAGAGGCTTCGTGAATCCATATACGATATTAATGAGGTTCGCAGTCCTTCTCTGACTTGTAATATAACTATGTTGTTTTGAAAGTCTCGATTCTTATCTGTCGTTTTGGTCTTTTGTAGGAAGAATTACGTCCATACTTCTCCCTGCCAAAGGTTATGGATGGACTTTTCAGTCTAGCTAAGACATTATTTGGAATCGATATTGAACCAGCAGATGGTGTAGCTCCGGTAAAATCTAGAATCTTACCTGTTGCGTTGGCAAGTGATATACTAGTGAAAGCCTGTTAATTGACATTGTATTGTTTTATTTGAAGGTCTGGAACAGCGATGTTCGGTTCTACCGCGTCAAAGATTCTTCTGGAAACCCAGTGGCTTACTTTTACTTTGATCCATACTCTCGGCCTTCAGAGAAAAGAGGCGGCGCTTGGATGGATGAAGTTGCTTCCCGTAGCCGAGTCATGGCTCGGAAAGGTACTTCTGTTAGGCTGCCTGTTGCGCACATGGTCTGCAACCAAACTCCTCCGTTAGGTGACAAGCCAAGCCTTATGACATTCCGTGAGGTAAATGAAAAATCTTAGATTTTTTACATACTTTATATACCTGCCTCACATATCGAAAAATTCTTACTTGCTGACTACAATATCATGCTAAAATACAGGTCGAGACTGTGTTTCACGAATTTGGACATGCTCTCCAGCATATGCTTACCAAGCAGGATGAGGGGCTAGTGGCTGGTATTCGAAATGTCGAGTGGGACGCGGTTGAATTGCCATCACAGTTTATGGAGAATTGGTGCTACCACAGGTACTTGCGAGTTCAGAATTAGTCACTCTTTGTACTTCTTTTTCCAGTGGGGATGGTGGAGAAGTATTTAAAATGTTTATAAAAATCTGAATTGCTGGTTTCAGGGACACTTTAATGAGCATTGCTAAGCATTACCAAACAGGAGAAACACTCCCAGAGGAAGTATACAAGAAACTCCTAGCTGCAAGAACATTCCGTGCAGGGTCCTTTAGTCTTCGTCAGGTGAGTGCAAACGCAACAAACTGCTGATTGTTTTATATATACAGTGGCGATTCTTCACTTCCGTAATGGAATCAAAGACATTTGAGTGGTTGTATTAACGATATGGTTTCATTTGTTTCAGCTGAAACTTGCGAGTGTTGATCTAGAGCTGCACACAAAATACATACCAGGTGGAGCAGAGTCCATTTACGATGTAGATCAAAGGGTATCTGCAAAAACTCTAGTGATTCCTCCACTCCCCGAAGATAGATTTCTCTGTAGCTTCGGTCACATATTTTCAGGTAACAAACCTCGAAAAAACCCTTAGTGAGATATATGTATACTGTTGGTACTTTTTGATCCAGTCGGTCACGCATTCGCTTGTTCATGAATTTCCCAGGTGGATATGCAGCTGGATATTACAGTTACAAGGTAAATTTTGAATCTCCCCCTAGAGCAAAACTCTATTCGACCGTCTCTGTGAATTCTCTCTCACCCAAATACTTAATCTAAAAATGTGAAAAACTTGCAGTGGGCAGAAGTTTTGTCTGCAGACGCATTTTCAGCGTTTGAAGACGCTGGACTGGACGACATTAAGGTATTTTTTAATATATATGTGCTAAAAAAAACATTTGATAGAGACAAAAAGTTAGACACGAGATTATATGAAACTCCTTTGCTGCAATTAGGCTGTTAAAGAGACAGGACAGAGATTCAGAGACACGGTACTTGCGCTTGGAGGAGGAAAAGCGCCTCTTAAGGTACATTTTTTATTTTACTATGTGGTTTGTTTTCGTATGATAGCTTCAACACTTACGGACATTCTTTCAAATTAAATTTTGCGTTCAGGTTTTTGTTGAGTTTAGAGGACGCGAGCCTTCACCTGAACCTCTTCTCAGACACAATGGACTCTTGGCTGCCTCTGCTTCTGCTTGAGTCTTATATTTTTAGTACCATGTCATTTATAAGAATTTTTTTGTTCAACAAATAAGGTCTTTAATTTTCCAAACATTTACATCACTCAACTACCACATTTCATTGATTTTTTCTTCCCTTCTATCACCTTTCTCTAACACAGCCACTCCCTTTAGCACTAAGAACAAAGAAAAAAAATTAAGTCATCGAACCCCAAAAGACTCTCTCCTCTTCTCCTACATACTCATCCTCCCCTTCTCTGTTCATCATCTCACAAATACACTAAAAACAACTCCTAAATCTAAAAGGTGAATTAAATAACGAACTCCTCTTTGCTTAAACTAGCATTTCTCTCTATCTAACTAATACTGCTTCCTAACGTCTCCATCAGAAGAAAGACAAAGGCTTCTCTCACTTTCTCCCATCCTTCCTCTCTTTACACCCACGATTCCACCTCTCTTGCCTTAGTCTTGTGGGATGTCAAGAGATTTATCATTGAGCTTCTTTTGCTTCCACAAATGGCGATTGAACACTATCCGCATCAGAATCACTACCTGATGAACTCCCACCTGACCCTGAATCTGCACATTAGCATCAAACCATACAACGTTGTTAGATAGGTGGCAAAAGGGGAAATTTGTGGGACATAGCAGGGAGAGCTTTTGAAACAGGGTTCAAGAAACATACCACTAGACGAGGAACCGCTACTAGAACTAGAGCTGCCTGAAGAACTAGACCCACTACTAGCAGCAGCTGCTACTGCAGTGCCATCTCTTTCGATCTCTACAGATGGGTAATCTTCGATCGGTATGTCTTCTCCAATGTCTACATCCTCTTCCCCTGCATCCCCTTTCCTTGTTCTCTTCTCCGCACTTCCCATTTCTGCTACCGAAGTCTGAGAGAGACACAAGGGAAGATACAACATTTAAGCACTGACACAAGAGAAACAATGGCGGCTTTGATAGGATGCAGCGCTAATTTGCTTACCATGTTTCGAGGTGGTGTTGACACATTACGGATAAACCCTTGGCGCTTGATTTTGCTAGCCATCTTCTTGTAATTTGTCACGAAACGATCAAGCTCCCATAGAGTCTCATTGTCTACGGCTTCAATGTCTAGCTCAATTTCGTCGCCATCTTGAGCTAAATGTCCGTTTCTCTTCCTGAGAATCTGAACCAACTGCCCAAGCTTCTCAGGAGGTAGGTCTTGTAGATTCATGCCAAGCTTTGACTTCTCCTCCAATGTCATCAGTCTTTTGTTTGGATCCTTAGCCTTAGGCTTCGGCAACTTCCCTTTCCTCCCTTTGGTCACTTCACTCACATCAGTAGGTGCTTCAGCTTCACTAACCGGCTGCGGAAGAGGCGGCTGAGGCTGAACCGCTGCAGGGGCAGGAGGAAGCGGAGGCGGAGGAGGAGGAGAAGGCGAAGGAGTTCGCTCGCGTGGCGGCTCGACTAACTGGGGAGGCAATGTAGGTTGTGATGGCTTCGCTGTATCTAACTTCTTCGCTATAGATATTTGTTCCGTTCCTCTCCTAGCATTTGCAGCCACTGGAGTCTGATTCCACTGCCTTGGCTTGAACTCAGATTCAGGACGAGATGACGAACCAGTGAGTTTTAGCTGCTGGGCCTCAAATTTCTTGAATGCAGGATTGAACATAACGTCGAATTGATCCAGAAGCTTCTCAGCCATAAAATACACATCTTGTCCCTTTGGGTTATACGCCATTGCATTCCTGAATGTCAATCTGACATCGGTTGCAAAATCAAGCGGCGAAACGTAAAATCTCTTCTCCAGATTCAGCTTGACCGTACCCAGATCCATGGGCTTCTTCACGATCAGATGGTAATCATGAAGCCCTAAACTTACCACATCAACAGGCGTGTTGAACACCCACGCCCATTTGTGCTTCATCAGCTTGGCCAAGATCTGACTGCAAGTATTCAACATACCGGCCAACAGTTTCTCCGACTCCGGATCCGAAGCCGCCGGCCGCTTCAGGTGAGACTCTTCCGTAGCAAATGGATTGCATCGCTTCAGACCTGACCCGTTTTTCTTCGGCTTCTTCTTCTTCAGTCCAAGGTCATTCGATTCACCGGCAAAGCTATTTGTCGGAGCTGATCGAACGGCGGATACCTCAGGGGTAGTGTAAACTTGCTGATTCTCGAACGTCCCTGACTCGATCCGTTCCCTCAGGATCCGAACCTGTTCGAGTTCCGAGGTAAAGCGCTTCTTCAACTCCCTGAGCTGACTTGAGGTGTACCCAGCGACATTAAAAGTAGCATAGCCTCCGAAATCCGACGAATCATCGAATTGCTTGCTGGAATTGCTCCTGTGAATCGAATCGAAATTAGGGTTAGGGTTAGGGTTGAAGAGAGGAGGAAGAGGATTATTGGTGTTTTCGGCGACGGATTGGTTTGTAAATTTCCTCATAAAAACGGCGCCGCATTGTCCCTGGAACGACGGTTCGTTTAAGGAAGCCAAAACAGCCGGTGCCATACGAATCGCGAAGGTCGCAAGGTCATTTCGGGGTTTTCACTCTAATGGAGTCTCCAGCTTCTAAAAAACTTTGACCTCCAAAAAAAGGGCGGGAAAATCACATTACCGGCGAAAATTCCGGCGATCGGGAAAATAAATATTCCAGAGCTCGAAGGTGAAAATAAAAAATAAAGAGGATAAAAGAGGGTTTTGAGATGACCGGAATGAGGAAGAAGATGGGAGGCACCATCTCTTCTTAAAGGCCATTGGAATCTGACCGACAAAACGCTTCGTTTAAATCGAACCGTTAAATATAGATCTGACGGTTCAGATCCGTTTGGTGATGCTGCCCGATCTAGCTGCCCGGGAAATCTGCCACGGATGGCTCAGATCGCGTAATAAGCCACGTGGCGAGGTTTAAGCCGTTTGTTCGTGAGGCGTCGTGTGAGTTCTTTTTTTTGTTTTTATGTTTTATTTAATTTTCTTATGAAGGTGAGGACTTTACAGAAATTGATGGGGAGTTTTTAATGATTTCCATTTCTGTGTTTTGGTATATGGAGAGATAGGCAAACTAGTCATTTCATGTCGAATGGGTCCCACAGTGACTTTTTATTTCTTTAGTTTTTACAGGCTCTCTGATTGGTTGCTTTTTCTATGCCAGGTCAGCGGTCGCCACGTGTAGACAGCTAGGAATCTCGTTCATATAAATACTCTTCTACTTTCAAACCTTTTTGATTAAGCCCTTAAACTTGTACTATTATTTTAAGCTAACTAAGCATTACACTATATACATGTACTGATGTGTACATCATCATTATAACTACTAATATGAATAGAAAAACAAATTGCATTAAGAAGCCGAACACAATTAAAATTCCGACCAGGAAAAAAAAAAGAAGAAAAAATCACTTTTACATGACGGCACGGTCACCGACTACTAAGACAGCGAACGAATTTAGGGCACCACCAATTATTAAGCAAATGACGAAAATAGCCTCCTTGTTTTGGAACCCACCCAATCGCCAATGGGCTTACAGATCTCTGGGCTATGAACTGCTGTATAATTAGGAAAATGGATATCTAATGAAGACAAATGTGGAGCGGTTATTACCAGGAAAAGCATGCAAATGTGTGGAGTACAACTTACCCAGAATATTGACTGTTGTTCACTTATCACAAACTTTAATTATACCCTGTTGAGCATCTTCCCCACAGGAGAAGAAAAGAAAAGAAAATTTAATATTTAAAAAAAAAAATCCGAGAAAAAAAACAATTAGCCAGGTTTCTCAGAGACAGAGAAGAACACAAGCATGAAGTTATGAACAACAAGAGATAACAGAGAAGGAGGGAAGGAGGGAAGGAGGGAGGGAGAGAGAGAGAGGGAGAGAGAGTTCAGGCAAGAGTAATAAAACACAATTATTGAGCGAATGAGTGCATTTTTGTGTCTATATACTTTTAAAACCAAAGTAGGTCAAATCTGGACCGTTGGATTCTGATTTCTATCAAACCTTTTTCTCGAAGCCCATTTTGAGCTTTCTTTTTAAAATTCTACCAAATACCAATTTTGAGCTTTGACTCTGTGTATTAGATACATGATTATTACGCAGTGGGCCAAATTCTTCTACCCTCCTTCATATTGATTGAAAATCATTTTTTTCTTGTTTGATAGGAATATTAATTACCATTTACTACAAAGTACTTGTTTTAAAAACATATTATAAGATTTTTAGATCAAAAAAAAAATAGTATGAGTAAAAACTTATAAAAAAAAGAGTCGCAGGGGGAAAAGGTCATATATCCTCCGTATTAAATAAGTGTGGATGCTAAGGGTAGCGTCGAAGCCCAACAACCGAAGTTGGGACCATTTCCAGAAACTGTGGGACCCACGACAGCTAAGCCCCCACTGTAAAATATTTTTATCAATGCCCACGCGCTTTATGAAAGAGCGTGCGCTCACACTTCTTTTATCTGACGTGGATTATTGTTTTCTTCCTCATACATAAACACTAGATTTTTTACATTATATTTTAAGGAATTTTAAAAGTTAAAAAGGTTACGCCGAATGTCGTTGTGAATCGAAAAGTTTGATTACAACAAGTATTTTTCTGAGTCTTCATGGTTATTTCTTGAAAGAGAGAAACACCATTCCAAAACTTCCAAATTAAAATATTAAAACCCGCCGTTTACGAAATTAAACGGTAATTCGCAGATACTGTAAAAAACCATAGACGCTGAGATTCATAGAATTAGAAATTACTAATATCGGTAACTCGCAGATAATGTAAACTCACTGAGGATTTCAATTTCTCTTCATAGTCAAGTGAAAACATGTTTTTAAACCAATATCGGGTAAGATCCATTTTACAAACCGGCCGAATAAAAGCATGAACCAGCTAGTCTGCTGATGTGGTTACTTAACCGTTACAATGATTACTGGACTTCTGAATCGAAAAAAAAAAGATTACTGGACTTCTGATTGTTTCTTGACTCTCTTCCGAGCCCACCATTTATCGGATAGTTATAAACGGGCTGCTAACTCATGGGCCTTTGGTGTATAGCCCAATAATGTCACTCTTATTTAGAGTCCGAATATATGGAAACACATAGCTAGGCTCCTTTCTCTCCCACTAGAGAGACTAGGGTTATCTATTTCAAAACATGTTAACGATGATTAGCATACACGAGCAAACAAAAGTAGCATTTTAACTAATTTAAATTGTACTATATCACTATTATCTATATTGACTTTAAGCAATAAAATATGAATGTGCAAGCTGGCATTAGAGAAGTACGAAAGTTTAGAATATACGAATTAAATGTTAACTTGATTTGTAGCATAAAATGAATAGTTTTGGACATGTGAATGTGAGATGAGATGTGACTTTGATGATGATTCGTACAAACCTGTGGTGAAAAAACAAAATTAAATTAATAATCTATCCAAAAATAGACATGATTAACTGAATCTGGCTCGGCTTCTCATAAAACTCTATTCCTATGTTGTAATAATTGAATGGCCCCCACTTTTTTTCTTCTGTTCGTTTTATTGTTTTTATTTTAAAAGTCGTTCCATTGCTCCTAAGGCAATGTACAATAGGAACCGTGTCGAACTTTAACATTTGACTAATTTGAATTCTAGAATACGCGATTCTACAATATGAATGGTGCAGCTTTGATTGGTGTTATTACATTCACATTACATTATACTCTCTCTTATACTCTCTATGTTTTATAATAAATATCATTTAAAGAAAATATATATAATATATTTGGATGTATTAAACTTAAAATACATTCAGATACATCCAATTATAATATAGATATATTTTTTTCAAATGATATTTATTATGAAATGGAGAAAGTATACAATTTTATCTGTTATATATAAACATTTAAACCATATAAATTGTCTGAAGTTTCGATTAAAATTCGTTGGCGCTATACGTTGGATCGAATAGGATTGCTTACTTGCCATTTAAAGTATCCTTGAAGATTGAGTTTCACTGATTACTTTTTTTTTTATAAAGTTCTCATTATATCTTAAGAACAATACAAAATATTGGCTGCCAAAATATGACAATCATGCGCTTGTTGTCTGGAGCTGCAAGTAACAACTTTTGATATAAAAACAACAATTGTATCAGTAACTCAAAACCGAAAAATCGTTTATTTCATGATATACCTTTATACATTAAAATATTGATCTGATATCTGTATAAATTTAGAGTTTGATTAAGCATCTAATTAAATCATATCCCAAAGTTTACATGCTATGAGACATCATCTCTCTGTACATAGGAGAGATAACTAAAACAGTCAGCTGAAATGAGATATTCACAAATGTGGCGAATTTTTAGTAAGTTATGACTCGTAAATTCAGAATATACGGGAATGATCTTTTGCCCTTCTTTTCACGCAAAGTGCAAAATTTATAAACTATATACAGAATAATCCGAAATATAATTTAGTTCGCAAAAATAATATATATATCATGACATCAGTAGAGAGGACACGAGATAAAACCGGGGGACCCGAGATCGTGTGTATGAGTGAGTCTATGCTAAAATCTAAAGTTATGATGCAACACTATGTTTTCCAAATAATAATTCGATTTTTAAAAATAAAAGATATGTGTGTGTGTATATTGGACCAATTAAAAAGTCGTTAATAAAATGCCATAACACATAGCATGATTGGAAAAGCATGTTGATGAATAAAAATGTAATGAGTGTGACATGCTGACTATACGTGAGCGCTTACTTTAACGTACATGCACTTATATATGGAACGAATCGAGAATATGACGTTGCCATTTAACTTCCCAATTCATACGCAGTCTCGTTACTATATCTACTGTATATTAATGATTTTAGTTTTTTTTTTTTTTTTCCTTTTAGACGGTGACCATATTAGAGTGATCATTGTATAACATCCAGGTTTTAGTATGGGTGGGCGAATTATAATCTTACTTTAACGTACATTTGTTCCTTCTCCTCTCAATCATGTTTTTAAAATCCCAACATACAAGACAACTCACTCTCAGTTTTAGACCAAATCTAGCTAAAATATAACTAAATTCATGAATTTTCATTCGGAGTTTTAGGACCAAATTTTAAAGACAAACATTATCAGAGATATAAAATCTGGATCTCTACGATATCGAGTAACTAAATGTCGAGCTCATTTTCATGTAGATGCAAAAATGGTGAGTGATTTATAAATCACTTTGAGATATGTTTGCTTTTAGCGTACGTAATATAGTGCATTCTTATACAATGTATATTTTTTTTTTTTGCAATTTCTTCATTATATTATTTTTGAGATGTCCGTGTCGTATAAAGTAGGGTCTTTATTGTTTTATAAATTATTTTTAACAACAGAATATTTGACATGAAATTGGCACATAACCTCAACAAAATGTAAATAGAGTGCTGTTGGTTTAACATCCTCTAATTAAAACATTTCTCGATTTTTGGCTGTATATTCCTCGTATAATGTTGCATTACTCATATTTTTTTTGG